AAAATTTTATTTACAGTTTTTGTGAATTATACGTGGTATTGTACAGTTATTTGTATTAACAATGTTATTGTACATTTTATTGTGTATTATACAATGTGTATTGTACAGTGTATTGTGTATTATACAGTGTGTATTGTACAGTGTATTGTGTATTATACAGTGTATTGTGTGTATTATACAGTGTGTATTGTACAGTGTATTGTGTGTGTTATACAGTGTATTGTGTGTATTATACAGTGTGTATTGTACAGTGTATTGTGTATTATACAGTGTATTGTGTGTATTATACAGTGTACTGTGTGTATTATAGTGTATTGTGTGTATTATACAGTGTGTATTGTACAGTGTATTGTGTGTGTTATACAGTGTGTATTGTACAGTGTATTGTGTGTGTTATACAGTGTATTGTGTGTATTATACAGTGTGTATTGTACAGTGTATTGTGTGTTATACAATGTATTGTGTGTATTATATAGTGTACTGTGTGTATTATACAGTGTACTGTGTGTATTATACAGTGTACTGTGTGTATTATACAGTGTACTGCGTGTATTATACAGTGTAGTGTGTGTATTATACAGTGTACTGTGTGTATTATACAGTGTACTGCGTGTATTATACAGTGTAGTGTGTGTATTATACAGTGTACTGTGTGTATTAAACAGTATTTGTGATTATACAGTGTACTGTGTGTATTATACAGTGTACTGCGTGTATTATACAGTGTACTGCGTGTATTATACAGTGTATTGTGTGTATTATGTAGTATAATGAAAGTCACTGACTTAATAATCCCAAGATGTTCTCCTCGTTGAGTTTAAGTGAAGGAAGTTAATTAGAGATCCTTACCGCCTCCCAGGAGAAGGTAACGTGTGGTCGCTGTATCCTGAAGTAGTGGAGGAACTCTGACCCCAGCAGGTCCATCCCCAGCAGGTGTAGCAGCTGCTCTCCTGCGAACCTCACTCTCAGCTCCGGGTCCAAGGCGATACCGAACGGCACGAATTCAAACTGTGGGAAAAAATGATGGAGAATAAGAGAGAGAGAGAGAGAGAGAGAGAGAGAGAGAGAGAGAGAGAGAGAGAGAGAGAGAGAGAGAGAGAGAGAGAGAGAGAGAGAGAGAGAGAGAAAGTCTTACCAGCTTACTGATGTTGAAGCTTGGGAAATTAGGCTTGGTGAAGCCAACTCTTCTCTTCTGCATCTCTTCAACGAAGCCTCTGTTGTTGAACTCCAGCCTGGGGGGGGGGGGGGGGGAGGGGTTAGTACTGGCTTCAGTAGTAATGTTGATGTTACAGACTAGTTGATGATTAAGACACATGTGTAACACCTAGGTGTCTTTACTGATGAATAAGATACATGTGTAACACCTAGGTGTCTTTACTGATGAATAAGACACATGTGTAACACCTAGGTGTCTTTACTGATGAATAAGATACATGTGTAACACCTAGGTGTCTTTACTGATGAATAAGACACATGTACAACACCTAGGTGTCTTTACTGATGAATAAGACACATGTACAACACCTAGGTGTCTTTACTGATGAATAAGACACATGTGTAACACCTAGGTGTCTTTACTGATGAATAAGACACATGTACAACACCTAGGTGTCTTTACTGATGAATAAGACACATGTGTAACACCTAGGTGTCTTTACTGATGAATAAGACACATGTATAACACCTAGGTGTCTTTACTGATGAATAAGACACATGTGTAACACCTAGGTGTCTTTACTGATGAATAAGACACATGTGTAACACCTAGGTGTCTTTACTGATGAATAAGAAAACATGTGTAACACCTAGGTGTCTTTACTGATGAATAAGACACATGTGTAACACCTAGGTGTCTTTACTGATGAATAAGACACATGTACAACACCTAGGTGTCTTTACTGATGAATAAGACACATGTACAACACCTAGGTGTCTTTACTGATGAATAAGACACATGTACAACACCTAGGTGTCTTTACTGATGAATAAGACACATGTACAACACCTAGGTGTCTTTACTGATGAATAAGACACATGTACAATAGTTTTATTCGGTCCAATAAAGGAGATTATATTACTGGAGACAGGAAGAAGCAATTCTGAGGTGGTCAGTCCCTCAGCCTCAGCCTGAGGGACTGACAACCTGCTATCATCACTGAGGGACTGACCACCTGCTATCATCACTGAAGGACTGACCACCTGCTATCATGGCTGAGGGACTGACCACCTGCTATCATGGCTGAGGGACTGACCACCTGCTATCATGGCTGAGGGACTGACCACCTGCTCTCATGGCTGAGGGACTGACCACCTGCTCTCATGGCTGAGGGACTGACGAAAGGAAGCACAGAAAGTGAACTTGAAGGCAACGCAAAAAAAACTTACAAACCTCACGTAACACAAACCAAGCTCAAGTTCTTGGTCCAGGCGAGGTATCATTTAGTGTCGAGAAAATCGTAATTTTAGGCTATGTTGCCGCAGGTTCGTGTCCCAGGCGTCCTATGGTAAGCCAAATATTAATAACGTGATAGGTAATGCCCTGTTATCTATAGGTCCGTCCCACTGCGGCTTCCAGAGAGGCAACGAACACTAACGATCAGGACAAGAGCTGCACTCTTCCTATCAGAGAGCCCAAGAGCTCTACTCTTTCTATCAGAGAAACCAAGAGCTCTACTCTTTCTATCAGAGAACCCAAGAGCTCTATTCTTTCTATCAGAGAACCCAAGAGCTCCACTCTTTCTATCAGAGAGTCCAAGAGCCCCACTCTCCCTATCAGAGAGGCCAAGAGCTCTACTCTTTCTATCAGACAGCCCAAGACCTCTACTCTCCCTATCAGAGAGCCCAAGAGCCCCACTCTCCCTATCAGAGAGCCCTATCAGAGAGCCCAAGAGCTCCACTCTCCCTATCAGAGAGCCCAAGAGCCCCACTCTCCCTATCAGAGAGCCCAAGAGCCCCACTCTCCCTATCAGAGAGCCCAAGAGCCCCACTCTCCCTATCAGAGAGCCCAAGAGCTCCACTCTCCCTATCAAAGAGCTCAAGAGCCCCACTCTCCCTATCAGAGAGCTCAAGAGCTCCACTCTCCCTATCAGAGAGCCCAAGAGCTCCACTCTCCCTATCAGAGAGCCCAAGATCTCCACTCTCCCTATCAGAGAGCTCAAGAGCTCCACTCTCCCTATCAGAGAGCCCAAGAGCTCTACTCTCCCTATCAGAGAGCCCAAGAGCTCCACTCTCCCTATCAGAGAGCCCAAGAGCTCCACTCTCCCTATCAGAGAGCCCAAGAGCTCCACTCTCCCCTTATCAGAGAGCCCAAGACTCCACTCTCCCTATCAGGACCCAAGAGCTCCACTCTACCCATCAAGAGCCCAAGAGCTCCACTCTACCTATCAGAGAGCCCAAGAGCTCCACTCTCCCTATCAGAGAGCCCAAGAGCTCCACTCTCCCTATCAGAGAGCCCAAGAGCTCCACTCTCCCTATCTGAGAGCCCAAGAGCTCTACTCTTTCTATCAGAGAGCCCAAGAGCTCCACTCTCCCTATCAGAGAGCCCAAGAGCTCCACTCTCCCTATCAGAGAGCCCAAGAGCTCCACTCTCCCTATAAGAGAGCCCAAGAGCTCTACTCTTTCTATCAGAGAGCCCAAGAGCTCCACTCTCCCTATCAGAGAGCCCAGAGCTCCACTCCCGCCTATCAGAGAGCCAAGAGCTCCTCTCTCCCTATCAGAGAGCCCAAGAGCTCTACTCTTTCTATCAGAGAGCCCAAGAGCTCCACTCTCCCTATCAGAGAGCCCAAGAGCTCCACTCTCCCTATCAGAGAGCCCAAGAGTGCACTCTTCCCAAACTAGCAGTCAACCTTGCACTGTACTACCGAGAATAAAGTCATTACCTCTGTGTAACGACAGCCAGTTAAATGATTGCTGGCGTTATTTAAAGGGTGTAATTGGGTAGTTAGCAAGGAGGGTCGTTAGTATTATATGTTATTACACAGTAAACAAGGCGGGGCACTGCCTCGCCCTCTTGCTAAAATATACACGAGGTGAGAGAGAGAGAGAGAGAGAGAGAGAGAGAGAGAGAGAGAGAGAGAGAGAGAGGAGTACCTGAAGGTGGTGCAGTAAGCGTTGGCTTCCGTGTCCTCGCGAAGGATCTCCACGTTAAGGGTCATATTAAAGAAATCCCTGGCGATCTGCAGGAGCTGGCCTGATGGATCAGCAGCACCAATAACAGCAGCGACAGCAACAGCAGCAGTAGCAGCAACAGCAGCAGTAGCAGCAGTAGCAGCAACAGCAGCAGTAGCAGCAACAGCAGCAGTAGCAGCAACAGCAGCAGTAGCAGCAGTAGCAGCAACAGCAGCAGTAGCAGCAGCAGTAGTACAGACATCACCATAACAATAACAAGGTGTTAGCTTGAGAACCTGACTTCTCAAGGGTAAAAATTATGATTCTCAAGGTAGAAGTTGGATCATCAAGGAAATATGAAGGTGAAAATACAGCTGTTGTACCTGGGTATACCTGGGAGTACCTGGGTGTACCTGGGTGTACATGGGAGTACCGGTGTGTACTTGGGTGTACCTGGGTATATCTGGGTGTACCTAGGTGTACCTGAGTGTTCCTGGGTGTACCTTCAGTACCTGGGAGTATCTGTGTGTACCTGGGAGTATCTGGGTGTACCTGGGAGTATCTGGGTGTACCTAGGTGTACCTGAGTGTTCCTGGGTGTACCTTCAGTACCTGGGAGTATCTGTGTGTACCTGGGAGTATCTGGGTGTACCTGGGTGTACATGGGAGTACATGAGAGTATCTGGGTGTACCTGGGTGTACATGGGAGTACCTGGGAGTACCTGGGTGTACCTGGGTGTACATGGGAGTATCTGGGTGTACCTGGGTGTACATGGGAGTACCTGGGAGTACCTGGGTGTACCTGGGTGTACCTGGGAGTATCTGGGTGTACCTGGGTGTACATGGGAGTATCTGGGTGTACCTGGGTGTACATGGGAGTACCTGGGAGTACCTGGGTGTACCTGGGTGTACCTGGGAGTATCTGGGTGTACCTGGGTGTACATGGGAGTACCTGGGAGTACCTGGGTGTACCTGGGTGTACCTGGGAGTATCTGGGTGTACCTGGGTGTACATGGAGTACATGAGAGTACCTGGGTGTACCTGGGTGTACATGGGAGTACCTGGGAGTACCTGGGTGTACCTGGGTGTACATGGGAGTATCTGGGTGTACCTGGGTGTACATGGGAGTACATGAGAGTACCTGGGTGTACCTGGGTGTACATGGGAGTACCTGGGAGTATCTGGGTGTACCTGGGTGTACATGGGAGTACCTGGGAGTACCTGGGTGTACATGGGAGTACATGGGAGTATCTGGATGTACCTGGGTGTGCATGGGAGTATCTGGGTGTACCTGGGTATCTCATTCAGGTAAACATGTGTCACAGTCCAGTTAAGATGTGTCACATTCCAGTTAAAATGTGTAACATTCCAGTTAAGATGTGTCACATTCCAGTTAAGATGTGCCACATTCCAGTTAAGATGTGTCACATTCCAGTTAAGATGTGTCACATTCCAGTTAAGATGTGTCACATTCCAGTTAAGATGTGCCACATTCCAGTTAAGATTGTCACATTCCAGTTAAGATGTGCCACATTCCAGTTAAGATGTGTCACATTCCAGTTAAGATGTGTCACATTCCCAGTTAAGATGTGTCACATTCCAGTAACATGTGTCACATTCCAGTTAACAAGTGTCACTTTCCAGTTAAGATGTGTCACATTCCAGTTAAGATGTGTCACATTCCAGTTAAGATGTGTCACAGTCCAGTTAAGATGTGTCACATTCCAGTTAACATGTGTCACATTCCAGTTAAGATGTGTCACATTCCAGTTAACATGTGTCACATTCCAGTTAAGATGTGTCACATTCCAGTTAAGATGTGTCACATTCCAGTTGTGTCACATTCCAGTTAACATGTGTCACATTCCAGTTAAGATGTGTCACATTCCAGTTAAGATGTGTCACATTCCAGTTAACATGTGTCACATTCCAGTTAACATGTGTCACACTCCAGTTAACATGTGTCACACTCCAGTTAAGATGATAAACATTGTCTCTCACCAACTAGGTAATGGGAGAGTCCTGGTCGACATGATCGGTAGAGCAGCAAGGCACCTTCACTGTCATATTCACTCACTACCATTGAAGGTGACTTCATCTTCGGAAATCTGAGGGATACGGATATAAATACAATATTATTATACCACAAGACGGGCAGCCAGCCTTCAGTAACACACTGCCACAGTAACACACTGCCACAGTAACACACTGTCTCAGTAACACAGTCATAGTAACACATTGCCTCAGTAACACACTGTCACAGCAACATACTGCCCCAGTAACACACTGCCCCAGTAACACACTGCCTCAGTAACACACTACCTCAGTAACACACTGCCTCAGTAAACACACTGCCCCCAGTAACACACTGCCACAGTAACACACTGCCACAGTAACACACTGCCTCAGTAACACACTGCCTCAGTAACACACTGCCCCAGTAACACACTGCCACAGTAACACACTGCCTCAGTAACACACTGCCTCAGTAACACACTGCCTCAGTAACACACTGCCTCAGTAACACACGGGCCACAGAACACACTGCCTCAGTAACACACTGCCTCAGTAACACACTGCCCCAGTAACACACTGCCAAAGTAAACACCACTGCCTCATAACACACACTGCCTCAGTAACACACTGCCATAGTAACACACTGCCACAGTAACACACTGCCCCAGTAACACACTGCCCCAGTAACACACTGCCCCAGTAACACAGTCACAGTAACACATTGCCTCAGTAACACACTGTCTCAGTAACACACTGCCACAGTAACACATTGCCTCAGTAACACGCTGCCTCAGTAACACACTGCCTCAGTAACACACTGCCACAGTAACACACTGCCTCAGTAACACACTGCCTCAGTAACACACTGCCTCAGTAACACACTGCCTCAGTAACACACTGCCACAGTAACACACTGCCTCAGTAACACACTGCCTCAGTAACACACTGCCTCAGTAACACACTGCCTCAGTAACACACTGCCTCAGTAACAACACTGCCTCATAAAAACACTGCCACAGAAACAACACTACCACAGTAACACACTGCCTCAGTAACACACTGCCTCAGTAACACACTGCCTCAGTAACACACTGCCTCAGTAACACACTGTCACAGTAACACACTACCACAGTAACACACTGCCTCAGTAAAAACACTGTCTCACTAACCCCACTGCCCCTGTAAAACCACACTTCCTCAGTAACACACTGTCTCAGTAACACACTTTCCTCAGTAACACACTGTCTCAGTAACACACTGCCACAGTAACACCTGCCAAAAGTAACACACTGCCACAGTAAACACATTGCCTCAGTAACACACTGCCTCAGTAACCCCCACTGTCTCAGTAACACACTGCCTCAGTAACACACTGTCTCAGTAACACACTGCCACAGTAACACACTGCCACAGTAACACACTGCCACAGTAACACACTTGCCTCAGTAACACACTGCCTCAGTAACACACTGTCTCATAACACACTGCCCCAGTAACACACTGCCACAGTAACAAAACTGCCTCAGTAAACAACTGCCACAGTAACACACTGCCACAGTAACACATTGCCTCAGTAACACACTGTCTCATAAAAACACTGTCACAGCAACATACTGCCCCAGTAACACACTGTCTCAGTAACACACTGCCACAGTAACACACTGCGACAGTAACACACTTCCTCAGTAACACACTGCCACAGTAACACACTGCCACAGTAACACACTGCCTCAGTAACACACTGCCATAGTAACACTGCCACAGTAACACACTGCCTCAGTAACACACTGCCATAGTAACACTGCCACAGTAACACATTGCCTCAGTAACACACTGTCTCAGTAACACACTGTCACAGCAACATACTGCCCCAGTAACACACTGTCTCAGTAACACACTGCCACAGTAACACACTGCCACAGTAACACACTGCCTCAGTAACACACTGCCACAGTAACACACTGCCTCAGTAACACACTGCCATAGTAACACTGCCCCAGTAACACACTGCCTCAATAACACACTGTCTCAGTAACACACTGCCTCAGTAACACACTGTCTCAGTAACACACTGCCACAGTAACACACTGCCACAGTAACACACTGCCACAGTAACACATTGCCTCAGTAACACACTGCCTCAGTAACACACTGTCTCAGTAACACACTGCCTCAGTAACACACTGTCTCAGTAACACACTGCCTCAGTAACACACTGCCTCAGTAACACACTGCCACAGTAACACACTGCCATAGTAACACACTGCCACAGTAACACACTGCCCCAGTAACACACTGCCCCAGTAACACACTGCCCCAGTAACACAGTCACAGTAACACATTGCCTCAGTAACACACTGTCTCAGTAACACACTGCCACAGTAACACATTGCCTCAGTAACACACTGCCCACAGTAAAAACACTGTCTCAGTAACACCACTGTCTCAGTAACACAAATGTCTCAGTAACACACTGCCACAGTAACACACTGCCACAGTAACACACTGCCACAGTAACACACTGCCTCAGTAACGCACTGCCTCAGTAACACACTGTCTCAGTAACACACTGCCACAGTAACACACTGCCACAGTAACACACTGCCCAGTAACACACTGCCACAGTAACACACTGCCACAGTAACACATTGCCTCAGTAACACACTGTCTCAGTAACACGCTGTCACAGCAACATACTGCCCCAGTAACACACTGTCTCAGTAACACACTGCCACAGTAACACACTGCCACAGTAACACACTGCCTCAGTAACACACTGCCACAGTAACACACTGCCACAGTAACACACTGCCTCAGTAACACACTGCCATAGTAACACTGCCACAGTAACACACTGCCTCAGTAACACAATGCCATAGTAACACTGCCACAGTAACACATTGCCTCAGTAACACACTGTCTCAGTAACACACTGTCACAGCAACATACTGCCCCAGTAACACACTGTCTCAGTAACACACTGCCACAGTAACACAGTGCCACAGTAACACGCTGCCTCAGTAACACACTGCCACAGTAACACACTGCCTCAGTAACACACTGCCATAGTAACACTGCCCCAGTAACACACTGCCTCAGTAACACACTGTCTCAGTAACACACTGCCTCAGTAACACACTGTCTCAGTAACACACTGCCACAGTAACACACTGCCACAGTAACACACTGTCTCAGTAACACACTGTCACAGCAACATACTGCCCCAGTAACACACTGTCTCAGTAACACACTGCCACAGTAACACACTGCCACAGTAACACGCTGCCTCAGTAACACACTGCCACAGTAACACACTGCCTCAGTAACAAAAACTGCCCTAGTAACACTGCCCCAGTAACACACTGCCTCAGTAACACACTGTCTCAGTAACACACTGCCTCAGTAACACACTGTCTCAGTAACACACTGCCACAGTAACACACTGCCACAGTAACACACTGCCACAGTAACACATTGCCTCAGTAACACACTGCCTCAGTAACACACTGTCTCAGTAACACACTGCCTCAGTAACACACTGTTTTCCGTAAACACACTGCCACAGTAACACACTGCCACAGTAACACACTGCCACAGTAACACCCCTGCCTCAGTAACACACTGCCACAGTAAAAACACTGTCTCATTTAAAACACTGCCACAGTAACACACTGCCACAGTAACACACTGCCTCAGTAACACACTGCCACAGTAACACACTGCCACAGTAACACATTGCCTCAGTAACACACTGTCTCAGTAACACACTGTCACAGCAACATACTGCCCCAGTAACACACTGTCTCAGTAACACACTGCCACAGTAACACACTGCCACAGTAACACACTGCCTCAGTAACACACTGCCACAGTAACACACTGCCACAGTAACACACTGCCTCAGTAACACACTGCCATAGTAACACTGCCACAGTAACACACTGCCTCAGTAACACACTGCCATAGTAACACTGCCACAGTAACACATTGCCTCAGTAACACACTGTCTCAGTAACACAGTCACAGCAACATACTGCCCCAGTAACACACTGTCTCAGTAACACACTGCCACAGTAACACACTGCCACAGTAACACGCGCCTCAGTAACACACTGCCACAAATAACACACGCCTCAGTAACACCCGCCCTAGTAACACTGCCACAGTAAAAACACTGCTCAGTAACCACTGCCTAAGTAACACACTGCCATAGTAACACTGCCACAGTAACACACTGCCTCAGTAACACACTGCCTCAGTAACACACTGCCATAGTAACACTGCCACAGTAACACACTGCCTCAGTAACACACTGCCTCAGTAACACACTGCCTCAGTAACACACTGCCTTAGTAACACACTGCCACAGTAACACACTGCCTCAGTAACACACTGCCTCAGTAACACACTGCCTCAGTAACACACTGCCTCAGTAACACACTGCCTCAGTAACACACTGCCTCAGTAACACACTGCCATAGTAACACTGCCACCCGTAACACACTGCCCTCAGTAAACCCCACTTTCCACAGTAACAAAACTGCCTCAGTAACACACTGCCTCAGTAACACACTGCCTCAGTAAACCTGCCTCAGTAAACACACGCCTCAGTAACACACTGCATAGTAACACTGCCACAGTAACACACGCCTCAGTAACACACTGCCACGTAACACACTGCCTCAGTAAAACACTGCCTCAGTAAAAACACTGTCTCTAAAACCAACTGCCACGTAACACACGGGTCATAACACCTGCCATAGTAAAACGCCCCATAACACACTGCCTCAGTAAAAACACTGCCCCCATAACCACCCTCCCAGTAACCATGCCACAAACACATGCCACAGTAAAAACACTGCCCAGTAACACACTGCCTCAGTAAAACATGCCTCAGTAACACACGCCTCAGTAAAACACTGCCCAGTAACACCCTGCCCCATAACACACTGCCTCAGTAACAACTGCCTAACACACTGCCAAGTAAAAACCACTGCCACAGTAACACACTGCCACAGTAACCAACCCCGCCTCATAACACACTGCCTCAGTAACACACTGCCTCAGTAACACACTGCCTCAGTAACACACTGCCTCAGTAACACACTGCCTCAGTAACACACTGCCTCAGTAACACACTGCCTCAGTAACACAAATGCCTATAAAACACTCCTCAGTAAACACTGCCTTAGTAACTCACCCAAACCTCATCTTGGGGAAGATTATCCATCTCCTTCAGGAACTGACAGAAGTGTCTGCCTGTCACCCTCAGCATCTTGTCATACTCGTAGTGGCTGCAGTACCTAACGAAGCACCTAGGGAAGACACGTCCAGGTCAACACAGTGTTCTAGCAACGACCAGGGGGTGAGGGAAGGACTTTAGGAACGACCAGGGGGTGAGTTAAGGACTCTAGGAACTACCAAGGGGTGAGGGAATGATTCTAGGAACAACCAGGGGGCGATGGAAGGACTCTAGGAACAACCAGGGGGTGAGAGAAGGACTCTACGAACAACCAGGGGGGTGAGGAAAGGATTCTAGGAACGACCAGGGGGTGAGGGATGGCCTCTGGGAGCAACCAGGGGATGAGGGAAGGGCTCTAGGAGCGACCAAGGGTGAGTTAAGGACTCTAGGAACTACCAAGGGGTGAGGGAAGGACTCTAGGAAAGACCAGGGAGTGAGGATAGGACTCTAGGAACCACCAGAGGGTGACGGAAGGACTTTAGGGACTACCAGGAGTGAGGGAAGGAGTCTAGAAACAACCAGGGGTTTGGGAGGGAGGGTTTTAATGGGAGGGAGGGTTTTAAACCCTGGACACAGGAGTGGTTCTGACGCCGGTTTACCATGGATGTCAGAGTACTTACTAGGGATACAATATTGAGAGGCAGGGACTCAGTACTCAGTTCTAGAAACACAGTACTCGGTGCTAGGGATACAACATTGACAAGTAGGGACTCAGTACTCAGTTCTAGGGACAGAGTACTCAGTGCTAGGATACAGCATTGACAGGTAGGGACTCAGTACTCAGTTCTAGGGACACAGTACTCAGTGCTAGGGATACAATATTGATAGGTAGGGACACAGTACTCAGTGCTAGGGACACAGTACTCAGCGCTAGGGGACTCACCTAGTCAAGACTCACCTGCCGAAGAATCTGAGGTGGTCGTTCTCGTCGCCCTGGCGGGTGAAGTGGGCGCATGCGGTAGCCAGCTTGCGGAAGAGTGAATCAGAGTACAGGTGATGGATGTTAACTCTACGTTGCGGCAGCCGGCATGTTCCTTGATCATGTCCCACAT